CCCGTAGGGACAGTCCCAGCCCGCCGGTGTCCCCACCGGAACGGCGCACGCGACGCCGGGTTCTTCTCAGGCTGTAAAGGCGGGACCGACGGTTCTGTGAGACCCGGTACCGGCTCTCTTCCGGAGGGATGAGTTGGCAGCGTTTGCATCCCGGGGTTTTCCTGATGCCAGCAGCGCTTGTGTGGGACCAGCGGGAGCTCCTCTCCCGGTGCCGCTGTCCCCGCGGGCAGGGCGGGCTGCGGGGACCCTGCGGGCGGCTCCGGCCTGGACAGGGTCCCGGTACCGGCGCTCCGTGGAAACGCAGCGCTGGCATCGTGCATCCTACGTGCAGCGTGGCAGGTGCTCCTGTAAGAGAAGCCATGAGTGGTGATGGATGATGGCTTAGAAAGTGTTATTTCCAGGCAGAAATCACACGAAGAAGAGCTGAGGTTCCAGAGAAACTTTGGAAAATCACAGGAAACAAACGAGGTTTTCGTTTTAGCTGAGGAGCAGGACATCTGATACAGGCCCCAGTGGTTTGCTTTATAGTCTCTGTTCAGGTTTTCCAGGAGATGTGGGTGTGTTTGCAAGATGTTTCAATGAGAAAGCAAGGCTTGGGAATATCTCCTTAACCATACTCTCTTCTGTTCATGGCACATTTGCTTAAATACTCAAATATTTCCCAGCTCCTTTCTTAAAAAAATTGCTTGGAAGTATCATATATGCTTTAATCTCAAAGAATGAAGCTTTTCCTTTTCATCCAGCAATTACTCCTATGTACATTGCTTTAACATTGCTTTTATTTTTAGGGTACACCAGAGTGCTCAGGAGAACCCATCTTCAGCTGCCCTGATGCTATCATCTGGGGTGGAATCTCCCCTGGATTCTTCTGTCTCTGATGGAGTAGAGCAATTGTACCCTGGGCTGCCTGAGAGTGTCTCTGCTGAACTCATGGCTGTATCGGAGTCTAATGTGGGGTTAGATGCCAAATCTAATGTGTCAGCACCCAGGGACAGCCTGTCAGCAGAGCAGCGTGGCACTTCTGGAGTAGAAAACTTTTGCCAGAAGACAGAGGATTTGGGTGATAAACTCAAGGTGGTATCTCACAGGCCAGCAGAATCCCTCGCCGAAGACTCAGTAAAGGCTGGAGACCTTGAAGAGGATGAGAAAAGCAACTTTAGGAAACGAGACTGTACCGATGATGGATGCCAGAAAGAAGACAAAGAGGCACAAGATGCTGAGGAGTATCCTGCTGCATGCTGTGCTTTAATTCCCAGGGAAAGTTGGTCAAAACAAGTAAGCAAATGCAGAAATTCATCCCTGCATGATACTTTGAATTCAGGGCTAGAGTGCCTGGGCAGAGGACTCTGTGTGGTTTCCTGATTCTTATTTGTGTCTTCTGACATGTGTGGTTATTTGGATTATCATGGGTCCAGTGAAAAATTAAGACTATATTTCAGCAGACCAGCAGCATTTTAAAGTATCAAGCTTTTTACTTTCTTAAATATTGCCAGAAAGGTGCAAGGCAGGTATGTAACAAAACTGGCTCTTGACTAAGAATGACAACAGAAGCAAATAAAAAAGCTCCTTGCACAGTATCTATGTTTTGTGGGTACAGCTTATTCTACCATCATCCCCAGTCAAGGTACTAACCACCAAATAACAGTAATTTCAGTCTGGTAATAGTATTATAATGCTACAGGGGGATCCAGTTGAGTATTTCAGTTTTTAATCTAGAAATAAAAATTATTCTTCATTTTTAGAATTATTGTTTGTAACCAGAGAGGAAATCAAGATCCGTTTCCCTTTCAAAACAAGAGACTCACAGGGTCATGGCTTTTATTTCCCCCTCCCCTCTAAGAATCACTGATGATAAAAATACTCTTTCTATGCAAATGCTGAAAAATATGCCAAACAATACTCTGGTAAAAACTAAAGAGTTACAGAATTCTTTATTTTAAAATTGAGACTTTTTGTGACTCTTTAGTTTGCAAGTATGTTTCACACACATCAGAAAACACAGGGGAGAAAAAAACCAAACAACTAGTAATTCAGTTTTCTGAGATGAATTTTCACCTCTCAAGATGCAGGTAGTTTGTTTGTGGGGGAGTTGTTTCTGTTGCCTTGGGGGTTTTTTTGCAGGTAGACCTAGGTCATCTGTTCCTGGGTTTGTGGTTTTGAGGCAAGGGAATTAGAATTCCAAAATTTTCTAATAAGGATGAGAAAACCCCACATCTTACCAGAGGCATGTAATGGTTGGGGGACTTGAGGCAGCCTTGGAGACTGGATTCCTCTCCTGATTCAGATTTGCCACAATTTGCATTTCAAGCTGCTTGTGTCCCAGGACTTTCTTGCTGCTAAATGGGAAGCTTTTCTGGATGCATAATTTTTTAATGGTGAGGTGATGGTGATTGATAGGATCAGAAAGGAATGACAAATGCTTGTGTGAACTCCCTGTAAATCACCAGTCTCCACTGATGCTTGTCTTGTTTCAGGACGGCCTGGACTTAAACCAGCATGAGGTGAAGTGTTCAGGAGCTTGTTGCACTCAAGTAGAAGGATCTCTGAAGAACACAGGTGTGTGTGTGTGTGTGTGCTACTTATACATCCCTGTCTACCTCAGCCTGGCTCCCAGCTTGCTTTTTGTTGATTTAAAATTGATGAGTGATTCTTGGGTAGCTCATGTATTTTGCTTTACAATAGAAACTATCACCTTGCATAGCTAGAACAATATGAAAACTTAATCCTCTGCTTTTTCCTGCCAGCATGTGTACTTTTTGGGAGACCTTTTATGTACAAGACATACTTTAGTTATTTAATTTAAATGCTTATTTCTGCAAAGCAGAAGGTATTGTTAATAGCAGATGTTTTGCATTTCCTTATGTTTCAAAGCTGGATTATATGAGAGCAGTAATAGCAAAGATGTGAAAAATCATTACTCATTCACTTTGTAATGGATTAATAAGTAAAAATGAAAGTGCAGAATCCAAAGGAAGAGGACAACAAAAGTAATTCTTAATTTCATTATGATCCTTAATCTTCTAGATCCAAATGCTTTGGTCACTTTGCGTCTAGTAATTATTTTTTCTCCCTGCATGATCTCATAACCAAAACTTTGGCTGAGCTGAAGAATGCCATCTAGTCTTGGTCCTTTGTAGAATATATGAAAAAGATCTGCAGCAAATATGTTCTCTGGAAAGTTGTGAATATTAATATATTCTACAGTAACTGTATTTTTTAATTAGCCATTTTTTGTGACTTGCTTTATTTGCTTTTTTTTTCTTATGCAGAAGAAAAGCAAGCAAATGTTCAGGTGACAGCTGAAACACTGCCAAAGCTCATTGAAGAAGTACAAGGTATGAAGGCTGATGGGACTAGGATATTTAGTAAAGCAGGATACAGGAATGACCAAGTGAGTAAAGGTCTTCCACTTGAGAACAATGAATGTCCAGACGTAGACACAGTCATGGCCAGAGCTGGGGTTTCAGAAACCAGCACCATAGATTTTTTAGAGCCTTTAAAAGTCATGGACATGGAATCAGACACAGACCATCCACAAGAAACAAATTATTATCATGGGTTGAAAGCCCACGCTGCCATGCCAGTGAGGACAGGGGGTAATGAATCTAGTTTGGAGACTAGAGAAGAAAAGTTACCCAGACTAAATCCTGTTAATGAATTTAGTACATCAGTTGCTAATTGCCAGACTTATCAGCAGGATGAAGAAAACAATGCTTATGACTTCTGTACTGGTCCTGTACCTAAACATAATGAACCTTATAGGTTGTCATCAGTAGAAAGCTGTAGAATGCTCTCCACAAAAAGTTCTGAAGTCTCATGTTCAGTTCTGAAAAGCAGCTGTTACCTGGACTTCAGGAATATGCCACTAGGAAACAATAGTACTGCAGTCCATGGAATTATCGATGAACCTCCCAAAAAGTATCTTCATAAAACCATCAAAAGCCAGACTCATGATCATGGAACTGGGTTTGTAGAAAATGGAACCTCCACATCCCTACCAGTAGAGCAGGTCTCAATTGTTTTTAAAGGATTATCTACTGCTAAAACTGATCATAGGGAAGTAAGTGCAAGTATAGGTAAATTGTACAGCTCTGAATTTGAAGAGGCTTCTGAAATCTGGAGAAAAATTGCTGTGGGAGAGAACATTGATGTTTGTAGCTGGCCTGAAGCTCAAGAGGATGCTAATTCTGAGCACTGTCATTCTTCAGTTTTTAGTTCTGTTGCTTCATCTCCTGAGGAGTTCTCAAAAGAAAACTTTAAAATGGTCCCATCAGAAGGTGATAAATTGAAAAAGAACCAGTGGCAATTCCCTGTCAGTGACTTATGCAAGGATGATATAAAAGAAAATAGTCTATTGATGGAAACAAGCAAGACTGCCTCCCATGAAATTGGACAGACAGACAAATGCTTTTATAGTACCTCCAGTAAAATGTCTCCTCCCAGTAGCCACAGCTGTCTGGATCTTAGTACCAAGCTAGAAGAAGATTCACCTGAGGCACAAGTGCTTGAAATGGAATCTGAGAGTAATACAACACTAGAAGAGTTGGCTGGCAGTTCAGTTCAAAGTCCAGAAGCTAATAGTAATGAAAATTTGTCCACTGGCAAAGAAACTCATTTGATTTATACACTAAATGTAGCTCTACCTGCCATCACACAGAAATTAAGAGAACGTTGTTGTCATGAGTGTCCTCCTTGTATTGCTAATGAAGTTTCAAACAGGGACAAGCCTCAGGATAATCCATCTGGAAAAGAATCAATTGGTGCTTCTGGAACTACAGAAGAGCAAGTCACTCAAACTATGCTCCATCAAGACAAGTTCAAGTCTTCAGTAATTTCCAGGACTTCTGATAACCCTACTATGACAAGCAAAATTTCTCAAAAGGACATGAATTCTTCAGTGGGAAATACAGAGAGTGTGGTCACTGCTTTAGGAAATGAACATAGTGACACATGGAATTTTGATCATCATAATATAAAAGACCAGTGTACAGCTGCCAGTACTTCCTGTGTTTTATCAGGGAGTACAAGTGTAGATGATGTTCTCCGAAACAGTCATTCTTGTGATGTTGAGATTGATAAGAAGATTGAAAAAAAATATAATTGGGAAGGAGAAGACTCAGCTGAATATAATAGTAAAAAAATAATAATCTTTCCAGAAGCACACTTCCCTTTGTCATGTGGATCTCTTCCTTGTGAAGAAGACTGGGGCAACAGAGGTGTAGATCTGCATGGGATAAATGGCAGTGAAATTCCATGTAACAGAAATGAGGCAAAAGAACAAACTGGGACATGTGCTCTCCAGACAGATGGATTTGAGAAAATAAGAACTGTGGATACTCCAAAGGCTCCTGGAGGCAATCAGAGAAATAAGACTAGTGAAGAGCTATTAGGCAGATATTTTAACAAAAAGCCCTGTACTTATAATTTTGGATTTTGCAATTCTCCATTAGGCCCAAAGGAGAGAGAAACAGGCACATATGAGAAGAAAGAAGTGTCATTGCTCCCAGCTAATACCTCTGAGCGTAGCACTTCAATCTGTGACATGTGCCCGTTACTCAGAAACATGAATATTCAAACACGACGTGCCAGCCAACCAGAAAAGACTCTTTGTCCCATGGAAAATCACTGTCTTGCATGTCAGAATGAGTTGGATGGCCTGGTTCCAGGCAGCAAGCAACATTTAGAAAGTTTAAACAACCAACGAAACACTGGCTTACAAACTACAGCTACTTCTGTGGAAAAAACCAAAATATCAATTGGCTCTAGTCCAAGTGAACAGATCTTGTTAGAAACAGGTGATGACTTGCCTCCCTTAGCTCATAAATATGCAAGAGGAGACAGTTTTCAAGGAACAATAAATAAGAATGTGGTGGATTTGGACTCTTTACATGGTGTGAGAAATGAAGACTGTTCAGGATACACGGGCTTTGTTGGTGATGTAATCGGAGAGGAGACAATCAGACTAAAAGAACATGAAAATGGATGTGAAAGGGAAAATAAAGGAACTCGTGAAGTAAGTTTTTATGATTGCAAAGCACAGTGCTCACAGCATGCTTGTGTTATCAACTGTGCAAGAGAGAAAGCAGAGCTGGTGTTTGCAGGAAGCAAAATGCAGCAATCTTTGCCAAAGATGAAGTGGTTGGTGAAGGACCAGGAAAATACAGTTAGTGCCCAATTTTTGTCCTCCTCATCAAGTCATGGGAATCTGTCTCATAAGCCAGAAAATATGAATGTGCTTTCAGAGACAGAAAACAAAAAAAGCCGGAGAAGAAAATGTATCTCAAATAACTCTTGCTCACAGTTAACATTTCAGCCGGGTAAAGAAACTGATGCTCTGAAGGGTATTAGTCCATCCCATTTCAGAAAGTTTGTCATCCAGGAACCTTCTACTGAGATGCAGGCAGATTCAGAAACACTGTCAGCTCTGTACTCTGGAATCTCTCTGCCTGAGGAAGGAAAGCTGCGCATGGCATCTGAGGACACACAAATAGATAATTTTGATTCCTCTTCAGCCAAAGTTTTCAGCAAAAATTCTTCAGTGACAAAACCTCTTTCTGTAACAACGTCTGTTAAGAGAAAAGCCAGCAATACTAAGATCCCATCTTCAGAGAATAAAATGGCAAGTAGTTGTCTGAATGTTGCAAAAAGCTCAAGAGTTTGTGCACACAGCAAAGACAGTCTAAGAGATGAGGGGCATAGCATGCCAACTGTAAAAGACATGGATGTGACCTCACCAAAGAGCACTTGCTATGAAGAGAAGTTAAAGAATAAATGTGAAGAAGAGAACATGAGAAGAGAAGTAGCCCATCGAAAAAACTTCCTCATAGATTCTTTTCTTGATGGAGAAGATTGTCTTTGGGCCTCACTAGAAGATTCCCAAGAGTCTGGTAGCAAAACAGACCCTCTCAGTACTGAGAGTTATGAAAAAGTTTTGGAAGAAATCTCAAGATCCAACCAAAGTAATCCTTCAAAACAAAGAAAAAATTATACAAAGCTCACAAACCTGGCACGTACCAGTCTGCTTTCAGAAACTGTGTGTGGTTGTCAGGCTGAAGATGCAGCTTCTGCAGAAACTTCACCAGAATTGCAGTGTGATACAACACCCCCATTTTATCCACATATGAGTATACAATCAAACAGTTGCAAAGAAATACCCCCAAACTGTGTGGTTTGCAGCAAAGTATGTGTGCCTTACAAATTAAATGCACAGAGCAAAGATAACATAAAGGAGGTTACAGAAGGCCGAGACACTGAACCAACTCATTCACTCTGCAAGGAAAATGAGGCTTTAGGTTCAGAGAGATGTGATCAAATAGAGAAATGTCAGTTACTTAAACGGAAGAAGAAGTATGAGAAGATGAAAGTACATCAGTCAAACAAGGCACAACCAGAACACAAGTCAGAATATGGAGAGAAAGCAAAACTCACACTGCAACCAAGGGCATTGCACAGTTCTAAACTTTTACGCAGCTCTCCAGATGAATTGGTGACATCAAGAAATAAGGAGTTTCGAGGTCCTTCAGAGGAGATTTTTGCTGTTAGAAGCAGCGAAAATAAACTATGTAGCACTTTACAAGAAGTCAAAAGGCCAAAGATTACTACAGATACTATTAGTTCACAGTTTTTGAAGACTCAGGATTCAGAAACGGAAAACCTGAACCTTAATTTAGGATATGATGGAATCCCTGGTGCCTTTGAGACCACAAATAAACTAAGAGGACCTGTTCCATTAAAAAGACAGCCTGGAAGGACATGTAAAAAAGTTCCCACATCGTATCAGCTAAAAACCATTAGAAAAAACAAAAAATGTAAAAGCTCATCTTTTTGTGAGATTTCCCCAGAAATATTCCCCAAGCAGGAAAACACAGATCTCAAATCTTTGTACTTTCCATGTAAACCACCAGCAGTGGAAACAGAAACAGCCATGAAATCTGTGCATCTGCCAAGGCAGAGGGCCAAGAGGTGCGGTTTGTTGAGCAGCTTGAGATTTAGAAAATGTACCAAAGAACCAGCATTGTTGAGCAAGCTGACTGCAGTGGCTAGGAACCTCCTGGCACCTGCCAAAAGCATCCATCACCTAAAATCTCTGCCACGTTCTTCTGAAATTCTTCCTGTGGGTGAGAGGTACAGCCAACGTGTATGTAAAAATCTATTGGAAGCCTTTTCTTGCATTAACAGGAACTTACACTCACGCTGGGCTGACAGTTGGTGCACCAAGATGTTCAGCTTTCAGCCTTTGGCACTTTATCCTGTAGAATCTACCAAAATACTTTTTTCAGACTTGAGCCACAAGCCTCCAACCTCTTTCTTGGATACCCCAGTTTTCCCAATTTCTTTTCACATAAAATTAGACTCCAGTCCTGCAACAGACCTCACAGGGATTACATCCCAGCACTCTGTACATCTTAAACCGGTTTTGGGAGAAATGGAAGCACCACCTTCGAAATGGACTTTCTCTTTTCTCCTGTCTCAGAGCTGTTCAGATACAACAGCTTTCAAGGAAGATTCCCATCTAGATAATGAGCTGCATTCCTCTCTCTCTGTAAGAAGAGAAGTTGCCCTTCATCCTGACCATGGAAGAAATGTCGTAGCTGAAAGAAGAAGAGGTTGCTCCATGCTTGGCCTTCACACAGTGTTAGCGCTTTCTTCCCCTGGATGTTACAGGATTTGGACAAGAAGAAGAAACCTAACCAGTCATATTCCTACCATCCAGAGACTATTTATATCACAATTCGCACAGGGTTTGAAAGGGGCAAGGCATCCAGCTTCTGTCTCAGATGACCTCGTCTCTTCATTGCCATACTCATTGGGCAGGGTACTCTCCATATGGAGTCAGCATGGTCCTGCTGCCTGTCCCTCCGAAATCACTCCTCTCCATTCCAATCACTGCAAGTGGCAGCCAAGTGTGGGCATCGAGAACAGGTAAAACTCATAAACTTATTTCTGAGATTACATATGTATAGGGTATATTCTTGCTCCTTTTTGGGAGGGAGAGGGTAGTCGCAGCTTGCATTGGAAGGTCAGTTTCCCCTCTTCCAAATCAACGCATTCTGCTCAAAAAATGGCTCAACGTGGAAAATTCTTCCCTATGGAACAGTCTGTTAGCTGAATTTAAATATATTTGCCTTCACTTTTTTAATACTGTCCTGTTTTGGCAGACTGGCTAACTCTACTTTCTTCTCCCTTGCAAAATACACACACCATGCATCAGAATATATAATGCAGAAAGGTGAGCTACCTCATTAGGTCTATTCAGAGTGACTGCAGAACAACTGGATTTCTGAGGTAGGAAAGTTTTTTTTAGAGGTCTGAGCCACAGGTGCCACTTGGAACCACTGTAAAATGCTCGATACCAGGTTAGGAAGAATCTGAAGGGGTGGGGAGTGGCATTCAGTTAAATTTTTAATTGTATTCCATGACTGTTCTATGCTAATTGAAACCTCTCTACGCTGTGCCTTTTGATAGTATGTGCTCAATGTATTGTTGGCACAAGCAAATGTAGCTCCAGGTTGGTAATTAATTTCTCTGTGTGTGTGTCATTTTTGTTATGAATGGGAACAGGACTGAAATCTACTCTGCATATTTAATTTAACTTTGCTATCAGCATTTGAGATCTTTTTACCATGAAATTGAATGATAGAAGAGGTGGTTTCTATCTCTGCTACAGGATTTTGTATGCTCTTGAGCAAAGATTTTGCCCTTTATCCCTCAGTGACATGGGGCAATTCAGTCCCTGATTTTATATTCCTGGGCAGAGGATAAGTTCATAAGCACTGTCAAAAAATTGATTTGATGATTTTTTTGTTTAATATGGCAGTCTCCAGAGAACTGATAAATTTAGCTTATGTTATAGCTTGACATACGGATCACCAAAAATCTTTCCAGATAACTAAATGCTGCATTTTGCTTTGTATACATGGATAACATACCTAAAGGTTTATCACTTATTAGTATAAATTCCAATGTCTACCAAGGGTGTAAGTGAGCTTATGAAAGTATTCCATTCTGGGAGCTCTCTCCACTAAAAGAATGATGTTGAATAATTGCATAGAGACAACTTCAGAGCACATTCTATTGGACCTGTATTCTTTTTCATTCCATAAGAGCCAATATATCATGCTGAATTTTCTGGTGTACAAATTAGTACTCTGGAAGTAATCATATCAGTAAACCAGAGTTTGAGAACTAAAGTTAAAAATAAAACATTGCCATTCTTTAAGAGCAAAACAAACACCTTACTTCTTAAAATGTACTTCTGTGTATGAGGTGAATTTATTATTTTGTATTGTTCAGGTATGTTATCCTTGGCTTGAGAGATCAGAGCTGACTTACAGTCTTATGTTTTCTCCCATGCTTAAGTCTACAGACTCTTGGGGAGCTTGTTACAGCATATCCAGTTAGCTCAAGTATAAGAGGATTTAATTCCTTGACGTAAAGGGTAATTTGAAAACCAAACGTTTTACTATGAATGATCTTTATCCCAAAGGGAGAGAAGCCAAATTAAACCTTATCACTTCAAGTGAAAAATAACCCAAAGTTAAAATAGTTTAAAACTCAGTTTGTTTTTTTCTCTAAAATACCTTACAAATATGTGTATGAGGTAGCCTTAACTCTTTGGCCCAACTCTCATTTTAAGTGAAGCTATTGTAGCATGCAGGGAGCTAAAAAGAATGTTTGCAGAAGTGTAAAGAAATGCAGCAAATAAATTATATTCCTGAAACAGTTAACCAAGAATTTAATATTAAAGGTTTGGCTATAAAACAATATAAAGAACAAAACTTTGCCATTTTAACTACTTACTTTAATTACTTATTTTAACTTGCCATTTTAAATACTTATCACCATTTTAAATTCCATTTTGCTGAGGATTCACAGCCTGTTCTCATCAATTAATTTTTGTAAAGGTATTAACAAGAACAGTGACAAAAAATAATTTAGTAATTTAGTAAATCTCTCTTAAATTTATGTGTACTAAAAGAAAATAAATTAAATGAATGTTTGGTATATAAATACAAGAATACATGAACTATGTTTGGTGCAGTATAAAAGCATTTTCAGGCCCCAGTATGACAAAAATCTTTGCCTGTTTTGATTAAGACTGTTAAAAATCAGAAAAATAAGAAAGTGGCTCTGAGTTCTCTGCAGGCCATTTCCTTTGGGAAGAGACTTGTCCTTTAAAATTATTTCATTAATTCTTATGTTTTTTAATAACCAGGAAAACAAGGAACTAGAGTTGTTTTCCTGCCTACAAATCTTCCTGTGTCACTTCCACTGCCAGTAATAAAGCATTCTTTAAGTGAAATCTTTTCTTGAATTAATACTCATTTGGACTCAAAATTTCTAAAGTATTTTTTTCTTTCCCTGTTTGTTTTTTTGTTTTGTTTTGTTTTGTTTTATTTTTATGGGTGCATAAAATACTAAGTTCTGTCTCTAGTACGGAGGACTCTGATGCACAATTGATGCAGGTTCCAGTAGCATTGGGATAGTGAGTAGAACATTGACAGAAACAGAATGTTATAATTCTGGTATTAAATGACAAACACAAGAAATGGGCCTTTCTGACCTCCTTATATTTGGACTTATCTGTGCTGCCAGAATGGTTGGTTCTCATTTATTTTGTAGCATTCCAGTCTGGCTGTAACTGTTTTAGAACAGTGAAGTACATTTAGCTGTTAGTTTGGGAGAAGAATAAGTACAAGATCTGCTGTTTAATGTAATAAAATTTCTCCCAACCAATTTATTTTTTGCCTGCTATTAATCCTGTGGGCACAAAAATAAAGCTTAATATTAAGGACTCAGAGCTGCTGTGCTGACTTTTACACCATAGAATTATGATAATTACCAGCCCTTGTGGAAAGGCCTTTGGTTATTCCAATCAATTAATAATATTATAGTAAGGTTGTGGGAGTTAGAGACAACAGGGGGTTAATCTTATGGAAATCCTTCCTTTCACTTGTTTCTTTGGCCACTATGCACTTTTTTATTTACTAGCCAAATCCTTCAAGGTTTTCGGTTACTTTCATTTTAATACTGGGATGAGGTAGACAGATTTTCATAGAAATAATTACAACTTGCAGACTAACACTTTCTCACTCTCTCTGTCCTTTTAGTTCCTTTTCTCATCACTACCATTTGTAAGTGAAAGGAGGACTATTTCTCTAACAAGCTGGCAGTGAAATTTAGTGGGCTAAATGGCAGATGTGGCTTACTCTTGTATTATTTTAGTTTCTCATTCCTGATGTTGGCACTTTTTGACTTATAGTCCAGCTAATAATTTTTCCCCCATCTTTTTAATAGTGTAGATCTAATTTGTATCTGTCTTTTTTTGTTGTTCATTCTTCTGTTGAACCAGCTGTGCCATGCTACCCCACTTGCCTGTACAGAGTATGGAAGCACTACAGACTGCAGGTCATGAGATATGGTGAGTCTCTTGGACTGTGATATTTGTTCTGAGTAGTGGGATCATAAGCTTTCTCAAAAAGACATTGCTTATGTCATTTTGGCTTTCAGCCTTTGGCAGTTCACTCCGAAAATAGCTTTCTGATTAAAATATTAGTGAAGAAAACAGACTGGATCATGTACTGGAGAAATGTGAAGGGGCATTAATGTAAACACTACGTAGGTCATTGCACAGAACAGCTGTGTTACTTTCAACCACTTAGGAAATTAGTATGTGAAACTACAGAAGTTTGTTTTCTTACTTGGATCTTTGTTCTTTCTGTCTGAGTAACTGGACATTTGTGCTGAAACTTCCTTCTGTTCTTTTTCAGTGTTGGCAGGTGTAAATGTAGCTTTTCAATGTATCTGCAAACAAGAGTACCGAATTAATAGTTGTGTCAAAGAAATTTGCTGGCAGAAAAGGAGGATTAGTCACTTTCTATCAATTACTAACAAGACTTATAAACTGTTTAACTATACAAAAAAGAAAACAGTGAGTTTTAAAATCACATGTTCAGATACACTGGCAGCTTAGTTAGTTTCAGTATCCATGTGGGCTGCAGCAGTTTTTGGCTTTATATATGTACCAGAGAAAGTGTTCACTTACCTGGGCAATTTCTATGAACTGCATTGCTCCTTGTGCCCATATTGCAATTTAGGAGAGCATGGAATGCTGTTGCAGCATAAATTGGGTATTAATTTGCATATGTTCCCTTCTTCCTCTGTTACAGTCTGGAAACTTCATTCCCTTTTCCATTACCAAAGCCTTGCGCACTTCCAGAGCCATTGCCATCTCCACCTAGGCTTGCAGCATCCGAGCTCCAGGTCTGTGCCCTTGATGAAGCTGATGCTCCAGTTCCAGCCTGTCTTAGATCCCAAGATGACACAGAACTGAAAAAAGTGAGTTCATTTTAGGTATCTTAGACTCTTGGTTCCCCAGAACTTGATCCTGCTGCTGCTGAATATTACCTAGTAACTGGTGAAGATGGGGAGAGAATCCAGTCCTGTTCTGTGCTGCTGCTTTATTCAAGCAGAAAGAAGGTGGCAAAACAAAGAGGAAAGCTTTTTCTACAGATAATACATACTCAACATAAAAGGGAATTTTGTTGACTAGCATTGTCCTTATTGCTTTAATTTCAACTTTGTTTTTCTTTTTTCTTTCTTAAGACTGAGACAGAAAAGAGGCCAAAGAAAGTGTCTCAGATCCGAATCAGGAAAACTGTTCCTAAGCCAGACCCTAACCTTACTCCAATGGGACTACCCAAACCAAAAAGGTGAGCACTGTCTTTTCAGTGGACTCATACTAGCTTCTATTGTTTACCTTTCCTGCATAATAATGTAATCATTTCCATAAATGCTTCTCTTACCACCAGTATTCTGTACACTACTCATTGAGTGATGTTTGCTTCCTTTCTAAAGAAAAGATGTACACAGCTGTATCAACTGTCTGAGAGACTGAAGAGAGAAACTTGGTCTTTGAACATCACTTTTTTCAGTTGAGAAAGGATAAATAAAGGACTATAGGATATGGATTACTGACAGGGTTTTAGGCAAAATGTGAAAAACTAAGCTGCAATGGAATGATTTTTCTAAATAAGAAAGAATTTCATCTTGATAAACATATACTGAAAATAAGTCACTCTACAAAGCAGAGTGAGGTGCAGTGATCTGTTAGGAAGTTCTGTTGATGCAAATCATGTTGGGAGTTCTTCACAGTTCTTCTTTGTGGTACATGATCTTAGGGAAACATTAGTTCAGTGTAAATGTGGGTCATCATGGTACCTGATACAAATAAAGGTTTTCCAGTCAGTCATTTAGTATTTTGTTCACTTCTGTCTTAAAGAGAAGTGCCAGCATTAGCAAAGGAATGCCCTTCTTCAAAGATTAGCTTAAGTGTTGGTAACTAACTTCTAAAATGAGTCTCGAGAGATGAAATGTTCATCTGCTAAACTGATAAATCTTTTCTTAGTTTCTACAAAAAAAGAAAAAAGACCTGTGATGGGATTTCCCTTTCTTCTTTTGACCATCATTATTTCAAAACATCACAGACTACTAGAAAGAACATTGACTTCTGCAGAAATAGCAACTCTTGTCCCCAGTGTTATAAAAACACTGTATGAAATTAGGTACCTCATCTTTCATTCCTCCCTATCCCTAGTTAGTTGAAGCATATTTACTGTTTAGGCATAGAATCCAAAGCATACTTGTTTCTTGCAAATCTGCTAGTTGTGAAGAGAGGTGGTTTTGAAACCCTTCTTTCTTGATTTTTTTTTTTTTTTTGTTACTTTTTCAGGCTTAAGAAGAAAGAATTTAGTTTAGAAGAAATTTACACAAACAAGAACTATAAGTCCCCACCTCCAGCCAGGTTGGTTCTGCTTTCTAATGAGAAAACTAAGATTCTTGTAAATCACTTCAATGGGGAGAGGATGAAGATTAAACATGTCTGAAAGCTAAAAGGAAGATACTTTTTTTTTTTAAGCTGCTCTAGTTTAAAGTGGTAGAGAAAGTTAACTCAGAAATTGTATCTTTTACTATTTGGATGGAAAGCAGTGAAATAGAATATGAAATACAAATTTGCAGCTGTTTAAGTATGGATTTATTGTTGGCTGTTTTTTTTTTTTTTTCATTTACTTATTTCTTCCAGCCTCCATTCAAGTACAGTACTTTTTCAAAATTCAAAGGCAACTAAATTATGCTTTAAAACACTAAGAATAATGTCCTGCCTTCAAGTATAGCATGATTGTGATGACTGCTACATTTTTTTAATGTGTATATCTATTTATTCTATAAAATCAAGATTCTATAATTGTGCTATTGAACTGAAATACAAGTAGGGAGAGATTCAACCCAAATGTCTATGCACCAGTAACACATTATTTGGCTAGCAGTAATGTACAGCTGCAGGAAGTGTAAGCTGTAGATAAGTAAAAGCTGTGTTGACTTGGGTTCTGAAATCCACCAGTCTCCCTGTCCTTGTCAAGTGGTTAACTGCTGCATGAGCATTCAAGAGTTGTATTATTTGCTTTTACCAGGAGCTTGGAAACAATCTTTGAAGAGCCCAAGGAGAAAAATGGGTGCTTGATCTCTGTCAGCCAGCAGAAGAGAAAGCGAATTCTGGAGTTTCAGGACTTTACTCTTCCCCGGAAAAGGAAGACACGAGGCAAAGTCAAGGCAGTGGGTAGTTACACCCGAGCAAAAAAAGCTGCACTACAGAGTGCAGAGTTAGATGCTCTTCTGAGTCAGAAGCTAATGGACCTTGAAGCCTTTTTTGCAGAGGAGGCTGAGCAGGAGTAGGTCTCTAGCATCTGAGGGAGCCATTTAGCTGAAAATGATCCAGTCAGCTCCGTTGTTATTTTAGTCCTGTTGGGAAACATCTACTGACTTCTTCATACATTGCTCTACCCCTCTGTTCTGATATCTGATCAGTTTTTGGCTGTGACCCTCTTTAAGGTGCTATTTAATTTTTTAAGAAATTTTACTGGAGGATTTCTTTTAGGTCCCTGTTTGAGTGGAACACAGCCACACAGAAATTATCATTCCTTCCCCCACCTCTGGAAATTACAGCTAATATTTAATTATGTTTCAACACCTTTTGAGGGTAGAGTAGGAGTGTAAAGGAGGAAGCAGTGCACCTTCAGTGATGCTAGAGCTCTGTACTCCAGAACATTTGCACATTTGAGTCTGCTGTTGTTACTGTAATGGCTATTTTTAACAATCTGACAGAAGAGATATGTTGTTTGATAAAGATTAATTCTAGCAAACACATTCTTGATATACCACTAACTTTAATTAAAAGTAGCTGTATGGGTTTGCTTTCAATTGTTTCTTCCTTCTGTTTACTTAGAAGGTTCATTCTGAGTTTCTGTGCCCTTCCTGGCTTCAAGCAGCAGAAGCCTCACATAACTAGAATTTAAATAACTTGCACTTTGTATATGTTTCTTTATTTGCTGCATGAGGACACCTTTTAATATGACAGCTCAAAAAGTAATATTTTAAGAAAAAATTGTGCCCAGTAGTATTTTTTCTGAAATAGTAGAGTTTTTACCTACTTGGCTGATGCCAACTTCTTCTGCAGAAGAAAAGGTAATTAGCCCATGAACATGTTAAGGTGCAGGATACGTAAGTAGAGGTTTTTATTTAACTGAGCTGAGCTCCTCCATGCATGGAACACCAGCAAGATCTTTGAGACTCACTTCTAAGTGATTTTATAAATTCCATTAAAAATATCAACTTGATTTTAATGCCAAGAAGAAAATAATTTTTTTCCATCTCAAGGGTTGGGTTTTTTTTACCATTTTAGATTTACAATTCATATAGCTCATAATTAGATAATCTCTTTGCAGCACTGTTGTACGTAATAGCTAGTGTTGTACAAAGAGTCTCCTAGCATGTGGACATTTTTTTGTTACTATTATCCAATACAAACCATTCAGTGATGATGTAAGGCCATTTGTAATTATCTGATGCAGCACTGCACAGTTTCTCAGCTATACCTTTTGAGAGAAGAGAGCTCCCTTCTGGGATAACTTCTGTTAAACTTACTTGAAGGATAATTCAAAATGAATGCTAGCTGCTGTTCAGGTTATTTCTGCCCCTTAGTGCCTATAGAAGTTATTCAGGCAAAGCTGTCTTGCTGGGATGCTCAAATTTAATTAGTCTTTTCTTTCACTTGTCACTTGAAACTTGCACTTTCTTATTTCCCTGTAATAGAGTTTCTATTTACCTTCAAAATTAGCAAATATCTAGTGGGTGGGTATTTTTTTATAAAATCCCAATAAATGCAGGACTGAAATTACCATAATTATCTTCTGTTGCTCTGCCACTTCTGTTACTGACCAAACAGGAAACTAAAAATTAAGCAATCTGTTGAATTCCAGAGCTTTGAAAATAGAGAAATGGAAGAGGAACATTACACTGTGTGTGCGCGAGTCTTGAAAGAAATGTGATCTGGGCTTGTTTGGCTCCCAACTTAGGGACTCCTAGAGTTTACAATCTTGTTTTGGAAGCTAATTACCTTGAATCAGGAACACTGAAGGAAAGAGGCGTGCACACTTAAAAGTGTGGGGTTTGGGTTTTGAGGGTAAAATAACAAGGCAGGCAAACTTTGAATATACTGTCCTGCTATTTCAGCAGCAAGGTCTGGTTAACCTGCTTGGGCTGCTGTAGAATATTTTAATTAATCCTCTTTATTTTTATAAAAATAAATCCCTAAAAGGTAAAGGTTGACTGCCTTTTCAAAAACTCTTGAAACTTTGCCTATACTAGTTTATTAGCCCAGTTACGGACTGGTTGGAAGCTGTAGCAAGAGTGAGATATATATTTTTATGGGTTTATGCTATAGAATGGGATTGTTACACAGCATTTTCACCTGTTACTATGGGAGGCTTCTGGTGCTGTGACACAATTGAACTGTAACCTTACTGGGGCTCTTAAGGAAACAAGGATGTGGGTGGGGAAGGGGAAAACTTGGGTCCAGGCAAAGTTCAGACCTTTCATGTTGTTCAAGACATGGAATGTGTTGTTGTTTTCTTCCTTTGGGCTGTGGGTTGGGTTTGGTTTTTTGGGGTTTTTTGGGTTGTTTGGGTTTTTTTTTCTACTTCCCTGCTCTGTCCTGTTTCTAATTGCTTTAAAATAACATTTCTTAGCTTTCTTTTTATCAGCTACAGCAGAGAGAGCAAAGAAAACACTCCATTCTGTTTTGTTTACAATAATCAGAGGAGTTATAAAACAATGTTGCAGTTGCCTAGCTTGTCCCAGTCCTTAGTTAGAGGAAAACCAAATAAACAGCATTTTCTGTTTTGGTTTAGTATTCGTATGATGATAGAGATATAAGCTAATGGAGACAAAGGATCTCTTCCCTGTTACCTTCCCCACCATCATACAGATGTCAGTCATGCTTCTGCACTTTTTATTTTTTCCTTTCCCAGCTCTCTTCCTGTTTACAGGACTCATGGAACAACCCTGTTCCTTGTGGCTGCAGCTTGTACGTTGGGAGTGATGACTCTGCAAAAGCTGGGTATTGCCACTCTAAGTTGTTCTGTCCCAGATAATTGAAAGAAAAAAGTAGAAAGTATGCGTCTTTTGGTGTCTAGCATATTTCCCTGGCTGAAGGACGTGTGCTTTTGCCTTTTCATCAAGTGAATCCACTCCAGTGAGGCTTTTTTGTATCATCATGGAAAGACATTGTACATACTGCTCAAAGAACCATGACTAGAGCAGCTTGAGAATTGCAAAGCTTTTGCCATGTGCTGTCTCTTAGTAGTAAGTTTTGCAGAGCCAGGCAGCTCTTTACTAAATTTGCTGATTATGGGAGGCAGAAAGATAATTTTTTAAAAAAACAAAACACAAAACCAAAAAAGAACCTTATTTTAATCATGCTACAGCTGGAGCAGCTAAGGCTACTTTATGTTCCAGCATTTGCCTGGCTGGTCTTGTGGTTGGATACATTACAGTTTTGATGCTTGCTGGATATGATTTTTGCAAGCAGTTCTCATTTCCTGTATTTGATTTGAGGTGGGCCTTTGGTGTGTCATGTTCCAGGTGCTCTTCTAGAATATGGATGGTAACTATGGATTAAAAGTCTGTATGATGCTATCAAGTTAACAAATAGCTCAAAAAGAACTTGTACACTTGTGCCATTAGCCTCCATCATGCTCTTGGCATTTTCTTCCTGTTCAATGTTGTGTGAACCTAAAATTTTACTGCTTCTTTTGTGTGTGTTTTTAATTTATGAAAATAAATTTTTCTGAGGACCTTTCTGTTTAAGGTGTTTTTAGGCTTTTATCAATAAATATTCATCATACATCTCTCTTGCATATATGGGGGGAAGAGTTCACATCTCCAGAGAGATTAACACTTCAGTAACTGGGTAGGCTATTAGTGAGGTATGGAACAGCAATTCTAGTGTTAATTTCTCCACAACTATAGTTCAACAGGAGAGAAACAGACCTGGGGGATTTTAAGCATGATCCTAGCTACTATTCACAGAGTTGAGACAGCATTCATCTCCTAAGGTAGAAGTAGCAGGAGCCAGACAGCTTCTGCTGGGCTCAGAACTGAGAGATTCAAAGTTGATGTAGGCCTGTGGTTCATGAAGCACAGTCTATGAAACTGAAGCTGAAGCACAGGAACATCGTAAAGGCCTATTCATCATCTGCAATGTCTATGGCAGAAAACAACTCCCCTGCCCCTTTAACCCATTGAATCTTGTGTAGAACTTGGATTTTTAATTTATTGCTATACAGCTGCATGCTGCTCTTGGCAAAACTAAGCTGACAGATGCATTTGCTAAGTCCTTTCTCTGATTGAAGTGCAGTGTTGGGTGGGTCCTGCAGATGGCATGGAAGCTCCAGTCAAGAAGGCAAGGGAGTACCTCAGAGACCTAGCCAAGCATCCTGCTGTTCCCCTGCTACTTCAGGGCTACAGCTTGCTGTCTGCAACACAGTCTGAGAAATTTGTTCTGTTACCACACTGAGACTTGCTTCATTTGCTGTTCAGCTCCTGACCTTTCCCTCTGAAAGGGCAGGCGAGTTTGGACTTGCATCCTCTCTCTTGTTTGATTAGTCATGTCAAACAATGGGACAAATAAGACAGAGAACCATCTCAACTATGATGCACTGAATCTAAATCCCTTGCTGCTGGGCAGAGAGTAAATTCTTTCTTTCTTGGGAAGTGAAAAGGAGGAGGAGAAGGGCAACTGTAAGTCAAAACAACAGGAAAGACAAGCTAAGCATGGAATGAACTGTTTAAAACAAGGTATTCCTGACAGTTACAACAGTACTGCTGCCTCGCAGAGGAGGGGTTTTATGTATGTTTGTTCTTTTATATGGCAGATACATTGATTTTATTGCCTTTCTTCACTATTTGCATCTCATTTCTTGCTAGCTGAGGTTAATACAACTGCAATATAAGTAGGACTCTGAAGTTTTGGGAGAAGTATTTTTAAATTTTTTAAAAATTAAAAATCTTAACCTTGCCTTCAGGGTACACAGGAGCAAAAGGCAATGGATAAAACTTGCAAACTGAAATAAGCCCAGGCCATGAAGAGCCACCCTCTAAATCTTTATCCACCAACAAAAGGCAAAATAAATACACGGTCCATTCTATTCAAAAGGCTTCATATCATGTTCAGGCAGTTTGTGCTTGTAAAACAAATGATATTTAATTGATAAATCATATTTTGATACTTCATAGACTCATGGATTCAAAGTACTAAAAACTAATGCTTGGAGTTCTTGACAGGGATGAATATCCATTGTTTTTCACCTTAAGGCTGCAAGCATCCAGTTCTGGCCAAGAGATGTTAATTTGTGAGAGAAAAATGTTTCAATTTACTAGTATAAATCCTTTAAAAAGCAAATACCAGTTAAAAAGCAGAAAAGACTCCTAATTGTGATAGCAATTACATATATTAACCTATAGCACATATGTGTATTCAGCAAGGACTATAGCTGCA